AAAAAAAAAAAAAAAACCAAACAAAACTCAAAAAACTTAGCAAAAGTGATTTTTAAATTAATTATCCATTGGAGGAGTAACCTGAATTGGATTCTGATACCATATCATACTAGAAGATGAGTCTCCAACATGTAATCAACTATATGATAAATAAAGTAACTCATTTTATATTTAAAGTAACACATTTTTTTTATATTTTTCGATTTGGGGCTTTCTCAATTAGCAAATCAAAATATATTTTTTAAAATTTTTTATTTTATCATGTGAATGAGTTTTGAGAAACCAAACCTTTCCTAGCAATCTCGTTTACAGATTCTTACATGACAAAATGAAATTATAGATCTCTTCTTTCCAAAAAAATAAAATAAAATAAAGCATGGCATTAAATGACTGAAGGGTAAAATAGTCAACGACTTTAAAATAACGTGATAACAACGAATAATTGCAGTGTTAATAACCCACCCACCCGGTTGACTGTTCTTCCATTGAACTTCGTTTGGGCAGCTAGTCCCCCCGAACAAGCGTAGAAACATCCAGATTTCTTCATCTCTACTATATAAAAAGTTCCTAAATATCAAATCTAATAAGCATCTGATCAGAAACAAAAGAACGATGATCATCCGAACATTTATTTTTGCTTTCTTACAACTGTTAATGATTGAATCAGCAGTAGGAGCTCTGGTGAAGCCTGGTTGTAAAGAGTTGTGTGGAAATGTTCGCATTCCATACCCCTTTGGAATTGGAGCAGATTGCTCCTTGAACAAAGGGTTTGTAGTCTTCTGCGATGAAACTTTCAGGCCTCCTGCTACTACCCTAACCAGCATAGATAGGGAGGTGCTGGATATCTCTCTTGATCGCAATGATCACCATGTTCGCATCAAAGTAACAAGCGAAGACGACCGTGATGATACAGGAACTGGTATAGCCGTTGATTTCAGAGGATCTCCTTTCATGTTCTCCAAGATGAATGGGAATTACACCAAGCGAGTGGAATACTTTCCAGCTGTGCTCGACTGGGCGATTACTGATGAGGAAGCATTACGATTACCAAATAGAGATGGGAATGCATTTGCTTGCTACCAGTTTAATTTCTCGCAGTATGTTCCAGGGACCATGCGGTCAGGTCAACAATGTTTTTGTAGTGATGGATATGAAGGCAGCCCTTATCTACCTAATGGATGTGAAGGTAAACTTCTACAATTTTCTCTAGAGAGTAGAGATCGATGATGTCCTTTTGTATCATTTGACTGATATTAATTAGAATATTTGTTTCCCATACACAGATTCGTTAACAAGTTTCATTTGATAATTTGATGATAGCAGGTGTAGCTGTTGGAATTTTTTTATGCCTACAATATTTTTTAATTTTTTGTTGGCACTGTCCCGCTGATTTTGCTTTTGTTTCTTTGTTTTAGATATTGATGAATGCAATGACCCTAGGTACAATTTCACGTGTCCTGCGGACTCAATTTGTGTAAATAAGGTAGGCAGCTACGCTTGCGAACCCAAACAAGGCAAAAAAGCCTGGCCTATCATTTGGGGTAAGACCCGTATTTTCCGATTTTTTTTTTAATATAAATCAATTTTATAAGAGAAGTATTTTGCATGTGGTGCTTTTAATTTTTTTTTTTTTGGGAAAGAATTGAGCAAAAAGTAATTTTTAATTAGAAAAAAACAAAAATTAAAATGTCATCACCTTTTACATGTAAAGATTTCATATAAAATTATTCAAACTTTTTAATGAAGCT